GAAACTGAAGATAGCCCAAAATCGACCCTTATACGCCCCCGTCCTTTCCACGTAAACATACTGTATTAATGACATTTCTTTCAAATATGTTACGTGAAGAAGGTGGTTATGAATATCAAAAGGCAATTGTTAATACAATTATTTCAATTGTTGAAGAAAATCCTGAAGCAAAAGAAGCAGGTAAAAACTAAATAATCGGATTTTAATTTTTTTTGTATATGGATTTTATTTAAAAAGTTTGGCTCATTTATGTGAATTTATCGAAGATTGTGAACATACATCATTAGCTACTCGTATTCTTCATTTATTGGGTCGTGAAGGACCACGTACAACAACACCAGCAAAATATATTCGTTATATTTACAATCGTGTTATTCTTGAAAATGCACCTGTTCGAGCTGGTAACACTTTTCTTTTTTTTTTGTATTTATTTATTTCTAATTAATTAATGTTGTAGCTGCTATAAGTGCATTAGCTAAATTTGGTACAGCTTCAGAAGATTTATTACCAAATATTTTGGTACTTTTACAACAAACAACACTCGATCAAGATGATGAAGTTCGTGATCGTGCTATAAAGCACTTAATTCAGCTTATATTCTCAATTGTAAGTATAACAAATTAAATTAAATTAAATATTTTAATATAGCAATGAATGTATCATTATCATCACTTGAACGTCTTTTACATCGTTATACAATTGAACCAACAACAAAACCATTTGATGTTCGATCTGTACCTGTTGAAGCAGTTCCGGTTGAACAACATAAAGGTTTGATATTCAAATTTGATTTTATTATTTAAATAAAATTGTTTTTTTTTTATAACAGATATTAGTATTGGTGTTGGTCTTTCACGTCCAGGAATTGAATCGAAAACAAATCGAGAAGATACTTATGATGGTAAGTTTCAAAAAAATAATTTCTTTCGTCAAATTCATTTTTCTATTTCTTAGAACAATTATCTGCTATACCAGAATTTGCTCATTTGGGTCCAATATTCAAATCATCATTACCAGTTGATTTAACTGAAAGTGAAGTTGAATATGTTGTATGATGTATAAAACATATTTTTAGTCATTATATTGTTTTTCAAGTAAATATTCTACTGATTCCTCTTTTTTTTTTTATTGAATTTTTTAAAACTTAGTTTGATATCAATAACACACTAAATGATCAATTATTAGAACGAGTAACTGTTCAAATCGATGGATCAGCTGAAGGTTTTGAAGTTGTCCATTATACTCCTTGTCAAGTTATTAAATGTAATGATACGGGTACAACTTATACATTAGTTAAATTACCTGATGATTCATCAGCTGTAACTGGTACATTAGCATGTACAATGAAATATACAGTTAAAGATTGTGATCCAACGACGGGTGTATCAGATGATGAAGAAGGTTATGCTGATGAATTTGTGCTTTGTATTTTTATTAATTTCGATTATTTATTTGTCATAGCGTTTTGTCTTTTGTTTTTAGCTTGAAGATATTGAAATAACAGTTAGTGATCATGTACAAAAAGTACTTAAACCAAATTGGTCTGCTTCATGGGAAGAAATTGGAGCTGAAAATGAACTTGAAGATACATATACATTATTAATTCCAACACTT